GATTATTATCTTAACAAGCAATTAGTACAATATGTATCATCCTGTTTAGAAATGCGAGACAATTTATTATCGAAAGTTTAATCATTGTTATTTGATTTACTTTTATCACTATTTTTTGTTATTCTTAAAATACTTTTGCAATGCTGTAACTCTCTTTTATGGCCATGCAAATAAAGCTTATTGTTGTTGTTGTTGTTGTTGTTGTTGTTGTTGTTGTTGTNTGTTGTTGTTGTTGAGACTGGGCAAGGAATATTTTGATCGCTTTTCAAAACGCCGCGCCACAAATTTTACAGCCTTTTCATACCATCACTTCGCTTAAATCAAATTGTCCAGTTGATTGAAGAATCAAATAAAACAATTATTCCATCTATCACCTCATATCCAACGAAGGCTCGTGAAATTTCTTCTATAATTTACTTCCGTAAAACTAGCTAATGTGTTTCACGTTGGCGTAGTTAAATAGTTACGAGAAGACCGTACCAGATAAATGCCATTATATAAATGGAACCAAAAAAGATAAATTGAAAATACCTTTTCGAACGTTTTTATTCATTGCGTCAACCAGTGAGGTCTTCCTTAACTACAGAAGATAAAAATAGACTATCATTATAACACTTATTAGTCTCCAGTGCATTTGTACTCACGCTCGCAATTTATAAACGTAGGCTTCGAACGCACAAACTGGCTCACAAGAGGGAAGAAATTCCGAGCTTTCTCAAAAGATATTTATCAGACTGCATTGTGTGTAGTATAATCAATGGCGGCATTTTATAACCGTCTGAAATCTCAACTTTCGCTCCAACGTCATGGGTGCCGGTCAGTTATCACAATGGCTGGTAAATTGTTACGTTAATTGTCTGGTAAATTGTCTTAGCTTTGCTTGAGTTTGTTTCCCTCGCAGATCTGCCTCTCAAACTAGCGAGAACATTTTATTGAAGTCCTTATCTATGAAGGCAACCACGACCGTTTGCAAAAAGTTCATGCCCTCGGCCAAATGGATATCTAGCTAGTTTGACGGTAAGCGGGAATCTTTACATCACATTGAACAAAAATAAAAGAACAATAGATGTGCATTTTCCCTTGAAACGTACTGTTGTCTGAACCGAATTGATCTCTTAATTATTTCACTCTAATGGATTACTCTTGTATAAGCCTTCATGTTTCGTCTAGAAATGTTCGATCGCGTCAAGACAAAACGTAATAGAATCTCGAGTTGTCTGACCTGTCACTTGACACTTGAAAAGAAGGCCATATTAATAATCTTAACTCTTCCAAGCCAAAGGGATATTTTTGACCCGAAGTCTATATAAAGCTATCGTAACCATGCAACAAGCTCTAACTAGTTCGCCATTTTGCAAAGTGCATTCATCACTAATTATGGCATATTTGGGACGTTGCAAACATTTTAAACTTATACATTAAAAGTGCACAAGGCCTGCAAAAAAGACTCTTCACTCACAGAAGCGATCGCCGGACTGCAATTAGACTTCTGGCCGGCGAATAGACTTCCATAATTCACCTAATTCCAGGTCTCGTTAAATAAGGATAATGTAGGCGATTTCTCTTCCTTTTGAGAATAGCTTCCGTCGACACTAGCTTAATTACCCAGCAGTAGGAGAGCTTGGTTATTAGCAGCAACTGAAAGTCGATCCTGATACAAGTGTGCAAGACAGAGGAGGAATTAGACTGTTATTCGAACCCAATATCATCGATTCAGTGAAGTTGCAAACGCGAAGCAGGTTTCCAGAAACTCACAACTAAAAGATGTCTCAGCCAGTGCAACCCACGGCCTTGTAACTAAACGAATGATTCAAAATAGAGGTGATAAACAGTCCTCGTTGTTAATTCCCTGCCTGAATTAATTAACGGTTTACTAGCCTTCTACACACCCAAATGAATGTCTGAGTATATATATCAATATATCTTCATATTAGAGATCTGATTGGTTGATATTTATCTCCTAGAGCAGTGTCAAATATAATTATGTAACCCTGTCACAGAATATGAGTGACACTTCAAACTTGAACAGAGGCGTTAAAGGGGATTATACCTAAATAATTTTTCGGTCCAATATCTTCTCCGCCTATTTCAATACTCCTTGCCTGAGGTCATTACAGGCAGACAATAGTGCCACTGTTCACCTGCGGAAAGAAGACAAAGAGACCTTCGTGTTGGAGAAAATGACTGTGCTTGAAAGTAAAAAGTGGGAAGTAAAAACATTAAGCGTTTTCCTTTGAAACTCACTGACAACTGAACAAAGTGGATCACTTAATAATTTCACTGCAATGGACTGCTCTTATATAAACCACGTTTCGTCTTCAAATCTTCAGGCTAGGAAAACTCGTAATAGAATCCCGAGTTGTATGAACTGTCACTTGACACTAAAACAAGGCCAAAGTGGTAATATGCCAGGGATATTATTAACTAGAAGTCTAAAGCTATCGTAACGATCCGCTTCAACTAGTTCGCTGTTTTAGAAAGCGTAACACTATTTATGGCATTGAACATTGAACAATTCAAAGAAGGACACAAGGCTTGCAAAAATGACTTGTCACTCACAGAAGTGACTGCAATTAGACATTTGGCTCCGTCGATATGCTTACGTAATTTCGAGGTCTTGTTGATCTTTAAATCTCTGCCAAAGTCTTACATGGTCTAATGCTGGTGTGCTCGATCTCTCCTCCCTCAGAAAATTGCTATCGTCAACAATAGGAGATCGCTTGCTATCGTAAGTCAGTGAATAAATCTAATTATAAAATTCTGCACCAGATAGAGGCGGAAGTATACTGAACAGTCCTCTTCGAATCCAGCATTATTGTTTCATTGAAATTGCAAAACCTCTGGGAACTTCAAGTAATTTACTGCTGATGTTATCTTACCCTCTCATCTTTTTCTCAATGCAACCGACGCTCTCGTAGCGAACGAAATAACTCGAAATAGTTATAAAAACATTTTTCATGACTGTTTACCTCATTCAACTATCAGGTCGCGCATAATTTACTTCATGTGTCAACACCGCAGAATATGACACTTGATTGGCTGATTTACCAACTCTCTAGTGACACATACTTACTTTTATAATAAAGTTTCCATATAACGAGTGCTCTGATTGGCTGAAACAGCGTGCTTTGTCAAAGAACAGAGCTCGGGCTGATGACGGTAAGCTGGCTATCAAATTTTTGCTTTTACTATCACGATCAAAGGCAGGACCGCAAAACTGTCTCGATGTTTTGACCCAGTACTGCAGATCGTGGATGTTAAACATAAATCCCCCCAAAAAAACAAAGTTATGATTTTTTAACGACGAGCGAAAAAATATGACTGCAATTTTTATATTGGCAACGAAAAGATTGACATTGTCCAAAGTTATACTTACCTGGGAACTCAAATTTCTTCAACTGGGAACTTCACGCTGTCACTCGAACACTTAAGAGAAAAGGCTGTTCATGCTCTGTTTAGTTTAAGACGACGCATCGACTTCAGCCGTTTGAAACCATCTCTTGCTTACAAAATTGTTGACACAATGATTTCACCTATTCTGACTGATAATAGCGAAGCCTGGGGTGTCTTTATCAAATCAGACTTCAAGTATTGGGACACTTCACCGATTGAAAAAGGTCACTCACAGTTTTATAAACGTTATTTGCAAGTGAGTAACAAGGCTTCTAATATT